CCAATTCTCTTGTTGGCAAGGGAGGTTGATGGTGTATTGCTGCAAAGAAAGAAAGCGCTGCATTATCGCGAAACTTATTACGGTTTATATTATTTGTTCCAGGCATAAACGTTTTCCTATTAATTATTTTAAAGATAAAAGTGTCCGGTGAATTACGTGGAAACGATGATAAAGCAGGTGACAGGATGTTATAAGTAAGTTAATAGTGGAAGCAAAACTCCCCGAAATAGCAGTTTTTCCAATTTGAATTGCATTGCAAGATGTTAACCAGCCGCCTCCCGCTGACGTGTAGGTTTTGATGCTTATTTGCGTTTATATTCCCTTTTGAAAGTTCCTCAAGATTTCTATAATTTTAAGAATTTCAAGACTTCTAGAATTTTAAAAAAGAAAAATTATTCTGTATGATCGCAGCAGTTTGACATTTGTCCGGCACATTGTTTACAGAGATATCTTGTCAAAACAAAAATTACCATTAAAAAGCATTCAAACAGCTGATCCCTACTTGCAAAGCGCTCAAGCACGCTTGATATATTTTTAATTAAAGGGTAACATTTTTTCATGCCCCATTAGTTGGTGTCTCCTCCTCCTACCTCCTTCCTAGCTCTAAAATTCAGCGTTAAACGACTGATTCATTTACTTCCGGTCTCATTAACTTGACGTGACATCAAGAGTCACGAAGCGATGTTACTTCAGCTTTGACCAAATTGAAAAATTACACCAATGAATAGAGAACTGAGAAATTGATGGAATGTTTTATTTAACCCTTTATACCCTAACATCACTATGTGTATTCTCTGTACTGCTCTCTCTACATTCCCTAAGGAACTGATGAGGAGAATTTGTTTAACAATCAAGAGCTTGTTTAGTTGGTGATCATTCCCTTTATTCTCGTGACCTTCCCGTGTGATACAGGAGTGATTATGAGTGGAGAAATTAAACGTTGGTCAATCTGAGGGTTAAAGGGTAAGGAGATTACCCTTGTACAGGAGTTAGAGCGAGCTCTCCAAAAGCAGACAAAATCGTCCAAAATCCGACAACCTTCGGAGGTTGCTCGGAATCGTCTTAAAACAGACGGAAATCATGTGAAGTCGTCTGAAATCAGTTGAAACAGTTTTTAAATTTAGGGACACATTCACTGTAATACTCGGACAAAACTTTTCAAAATTAGAGGGAAACGTCCGCAATCAACGCATGAACAGACAAGCTTTGTTAGAGTGAGAATAAGAAACCGAAATGGCTACATGAGATAGATACACTTTATATTTGTATTTGTATTTATTTTTTCCTCCATTTCAACAGATTAATTAAGAATTATTTTATGCTTAGCGTGCGTATATCGAGTTATGGATGCACGCGGGGAGTTTGGAGAGCTCGAGAGAGGCATAAGAGTTGCTTGAGGCGTTGCTCATTGTTTTCATAATTAATTTCGTTGGCAACCTCACTTTCAGTTAACGGGTAGGTCGCATTCTCATTAACAGTATCCTCTAAATCAATCGACGCTAATAGCTCGTTTTCGCTTTCGTCTTCTAGGTCGTGGAGGACTTCTGGGTCGAATAAAAACCCGAGAGAAAAATTCGGGATTTGGTCCGCCATGTTACAAATTGGCAGATGGCGTGACAGCTTCAACTCCATGTTCTATACTCTCATAGAGCACGCCCTTTCAACCAATGACTGCACACGTTATATCCGAACTTTATTATTAAGTCTAATGAATAGTTACAAGTAAGATAAGAGGATGCAGAAGGGCATAATAGAGCAAGCTAATTAGATACCCTTTACCTTGAATTAATTTTTTTTATACAGGAGTCGCTCTTGCATCGCTCCAATTTGTTGGGCTTGATTTTGCGTGGTACTTTCAATTTCTTCGATTTTTTTGTGAGTCTTGCTGATATGTCGTTCAAGGACGACTCGTTAAGTTAGACTTTTGCCTTTAAGGTGGCTACAACGTGGAGAATCTTGTCTTAGCCTTTATTCAATTTTACGAGCGATTCTTTGACAAATGCTTCAAGGTCGTCTGTGTCAGTAGAATTATTTTCTTTCCCTCTTTTTTTAAACATATTAACACTTAAACACTGAAATGTAATGACTAAATTAGTTCAAAGATTAACCGAAAGATGAAAAAATGCAAGTTTTAGCCTCTTTTGTTGAGAGCTTCAAAATTTGCGGCCATCTTGACCGACGTCCGCTGACCTGAAACTTTATGTGCGTCGGCTCCTTATTGAACACAAACACACTCAAGCTGCTAAAAGCTTATCATTGAACTCGAGACTCGACATCAGAATTGAAAAGGCTTCAGTTTACAAAGCGTTGAAAGGTTATATGATCACCACGAAATGAGGACTAGAGAAAGCAGTCACTAAGAGAAAACTCGACATCACACTCAATTCTTTATTTTTGAAAATTCAGAAAAAGGGCCTTAGGTCTTTTCGACAGGTATGAGGTATTTATCCCATGGCTCTTCAATATTTAGTTAACAATTATTCCTTGCCGATGGTGACCTGTCAACAATTAACCGTTGAAATGACGCCCTCATCCCACGTGGTTTTCAATATCTAATCTTTATATTTCCTTACCGATGATGAGCCTATCGTCAAGTAACCGTTGAAACCTGCTTTGAATGTAATTCAACATATCGAGCTTGATGACGCGTTCATTTGAAATTGTATTGAATGAAAAACCAAATGAATTTTTCTCCTTCAGTGCTATGGAAGAAAAAACAAACAAAAACAGAAAAGATGGGAGGATTCCCCTCTTCTTTTAGTCTACCAAGAAAAAAAAACTCTTCACTAGGATACCATGTTAAATGGCAAAGAAATAGATTTTGAATATGGAATTTAAATTCCGTTTCGATAGCTTATATAAGAGACAAGAAAAAGGGAAAATTAGAAAATTAATTGAAATATGAATTGCTATGTTCCATCCGTTAAAAGAAAAAACGGTTTGCCTCAGGTTACACTGGTTATATTGAGTTAGTTGTATGCAATCTCCTCTCGCGCGCCATTGAATTGCGAAAGGTGGTAAATGACCAGTCTTCATGGTTATTATTATAAACTTATATTACTCAATCGACCAATTATTTTGTAAATTTCTGTGTCATAATCATAAACGGCATTAGGTAAACACACTTTCCTCGTCGACTGCATGGGCTACAAAAAAAAATTGGTTTTTTCGAAAATTTTCGCAGTCTTTTGTTATAATCGATCAAGTTTGTACATGAGGGACTCAGGGACACTAATCTCCTACTGAAGACATGTTTCGCTGTCATCGTTCGCTCGTTTACGCAGTTTCTGCGTCAACACGAAACAAAGGCATTTGTATAACATTTCTGAGAGGGCTGTTTGCTGCTGACGAAGTTTTTTTTCGAATTTTTGGGGTTTTTACAGTGTTGGTTATAACCATAAATTGATTCAATTCATTCTGTTTTTCGGAACTAGCATGTGTAGCTTTACTTTGCCGTTAGTAACTTTTCTTTACTATTTTTTCGTATCATCCACCTGTGCACTTGGTACGCGTTTTCCGTAGTGGGTTTGTCAATTAGGTAATATTAGAAGCGCCGTTAGTTTCACCATTAGTCTGTAAGCCTACACTTACGCCAACTCTTTTTTCGTCTCCTTTTGGTAATGGAGGTTGATTGTGTATTGCAGTCATAAAAGAAAGCGCTGCACTAATGCAAAACTCAGTGTAGCTTATATTATTTGTTCCAGGGATAAACGTTTTCTTATCGATTATTTTAATGTCAAAACCGTCCAATTAACTACGTGAATACGATGATGAAGCAGGTGACAGGATGTTATAGTTAATAGCGGAAAAAAAAAATCGAAATAGCCACGCGATTGAATTTAAATTGCGTGGCAAGATGTTAACCAGCCGCTTTTGGTTGACGTGTAGGTTTTCAGGCTTATTTGCGTTTAAATTTCCTTTTTGAAGTTTCTCCCTAGTAAAAAGGAAATAATTCTAGAATGTTAAAAAAAAATAAAATTATGCAGCATGATCGCAGCCGCTTGACGTATGTGTGGCACATTGTTTACAGAGACATCTTGTCAAAATAAAAATTTCCAGTAAAAAGCATTGAAACAGCTGATCCCTACTTGTGAAGCGCTCAAGCACACTTGATATATTTTTTTAATTAAAAAGCACCATTTTTTTCATGCCCCATTAGTTGATGTCTCATCCTCCTTCCTTGCTAGCTGTAAACTTCAGCGTTAAACGACTCATTCATTTACTTCCGGTCTCATTAACTTGACGTAACATCAAGAGTCACGAAGTCATGTTACCTCAACTTTGACCAAATTGAAAAAAATGCACTAATGATTAAGAATTCATAATTATTAGGCAAGCCACAAAAGTTAAGGCAACTAACGTGCGATAATTAATAATTCAAATTCTAGGGAGTTCGGTTTTCACAGCTATCTACATGCTCATGATGAACAACGCTGCGGGCAGAAATGTAGGTCATTATTTTTCGGAATCATTTTTTCCAAGAAGCAGAAGACGATACTCAGGAAAGCATACAAAAAAAAAGCGAAAAAAAAAAAATTGAAAAGAGACGGTGAAATTCAGCCACTGCTTAGAAATTGTAACTGTGATAGACTTCTCTTTTCGCATAGAAAACAAACTGACAAGTCCGTAGATTTGAAAGGTCACCGCTAATTTAAATATTTTCGTTTTCATGGTCCACAAAAAGTTGGAAATGCAAACAGCTTTAACTAAACACACTGAGGAGGAGATCGCGAGAGATTATTTGATTCTTGTGTCGTCAACTGTTGAACAAGTAGTTTTACTTTCACTTCGAAAACTGAGGAAGACCCCTCAATGATTCGGTGTAGACGTTCTTAAAGACTTCTAGAGTCTAGACTTCTATCCATCCTGTGTTGGCCAGGAGAGAGAAACGAGGAGTCCAGGTGTGAATTTATACTAATATGCACATACATATGTACATTTGCAAGTTCAATGGATACATCTTAATATATGAAAAATGAAGAGCATAACATTGTGCGAAAATGGGTAGAAACGTATTCACCCCGTGTTGAACTTGTTAGCTTGCCGAATGCATCGTTAGGAAAGTAAATCCATATTATACATGCTTTATACTCGAGAAAAAAAAGATTTTTACAAGTTGTGTAATTTCTCGTTAACCCCAGACCAAAATGTTAATGATAAAATGTCGCAATTCATGTCTATTTCGTTATAGCTGAGTTTTCTTCACTATGTAGCTGGGTACTTTATTTCCCACCAGACTGCTGGCTTTTAGATAAAACGTTTAACGTTTTGCAATGAACAATTTTCCACTCGTTTAGATCACACGAGATACACCCACGAGATGAGACAGATAAATATTAATAAAGACCATTATTGGTATAACGTCCTCTCCGTCTGCTTTATTAACTCGCTTTGTGGTTATTTAGGTGTAATTCATTCGTCAGTTGACAGTTTGGAGCAAATCTAATTTTAACTTTAGGTGGGCCGCTCAAGCTGTTTTTTTTTCCGTACAATTATATAAATGGAGTTACTCTGGTCCTGAAAGGTCACATCCTGAAGATTCACCAAGCTGGAACTCGCCGAAAACTGGTAAACTCCCCTTAGGTAGTCAGAATTGATATGACGCTGCGCAGAATCGATCAGATATGCTGGGAAACCTTGCCAAAGTTTTAATAGAAAAAACCAGGAAAGATTTATTACTCGACGTTTCGGGGTCATCCTGACTCCATTATCAAGAGACTAGTTTAAACAAACACCGCGCCAAGGTGTTTGTTTAAGCCGTTCAGTCTAATTTATGCTATTCTTGTACCTTTCCTTATTTGCATGTTTTTAAACTAGTCTCTTGATAATGGAGTCACGATGACCCCGAAACGTCGAGTAATAAATCTTTCCTGGTTTTTTCTATGCCTTTGCTTTAGCAAATCCCTGCTGATCAAAAGTTTTAATAACATTCTTAAATGAAACTCTTTCTTTATGTTTTTAAATCCCTAATTCTTGTCTTTATTTGTTTCATTTTTATTTCGCAGTCTAGGGGTTTCAGACTCTTTGCCCTTCTGCTGCTATTTATCGGCACCCCGAAAGGAAGACAAATTTACGGAAGAGCTAAGACCGTAGAGGCGGACCGTGGCATTAAAACCAACACATGGGACGATGTAATAGATTACAACGCTGAAATCCACCAAGAACGCGATAACAAGGAACACGACGAATGTTCTTCAAATATAGCTAAGGCAAAACGAGGATGCGCGGGGCCTGATCTTTGCGCGGTTCTAAACGAAGTCATTTCATGTTTATCAAATGACGAGGATAAAAGAAATATTTGTCAGTATAATACCTCTTGCATATGTAAATTCAAGGGAAGCATTTTAAAGATGGAATGTTTCGGGTGTGTAAAAAGCAATAGAGGTTCTCCAGGCTTTTGAAAAAAGGAAGGTAGACTCGAAACGCGTCAAAGCTGTGTTTAATAAATGAACTAAAACAATTATAGTGCTTGCCCTGAGCTACATGTGCGTAATAAAAGTATAGTACCTAAGGTCTTCTGATTGATTTTAATACAGCAGCCGGTCTTTTGACGCATGTGGTTCTGAGTTTTTAACTGGAAGGCTGCTCTGCTGAGTGCTATGCATATTGGTTTTGTTTTTTTCTTCCCGCTCATGCGGTGCGAAAATTATAGACGAAGTCAGAGTACAAAAGTGTCAAAGAGAGTATTAGGAGTGGAAGTGGTACAAGTTAATCTTGAAGTCTTGAAGCCCCCTTCAACCCGACAAAGTGCAGTGAGTGACTCGCTTATGTTCGTCTGGAATCTTAAGAAAACCTATAATTCCGAACTTTGTTAAGGTTACTTATAATAAAAGTAATGATAATGACAATCTTTATACAGGGGGCTCACATCACTGGGGAGTGGTATTCTGTGAGGCCCTGTAAAATAAGATAAGTAAAATAAATTTTATAGAAATGGAAAACAAATTACAAACATAAAAACTAAGTAATATATAGGGTGTGTGAACATGATAAAATCAGATCTCAACGCTAACTTAACTAAATACATGATTTTTCACTCTGTGCTTAAAAATGAGAAAGGAGTCAACTTAATAGAAGTGTCTAAGAGATTCCATTCTCCTGCGCACATATATAAAAGTCTCTGTTTTCCATACTTCGTTTTTACACGAGGGAGGCGGAAATCGTTCTTTCTTCTTGTATTATATCTATGGAAGTCAGAATTCCTTAAAATATTAAAAATACAATCCACAAGGCGGTGAATGTACTTAAAGGTGGCAATGTATCTGCGTACAAGACGCCGTTGGAGCAGTGTTGGCCAGTTCAGAGAATTTAGAGCGTCGGTGGATGAGGCGTGACTCGGCAAATCAAGGATAACTTTTGCAGCTTTATTTTGTAGTATTTGCAAATCTTCCAAGATAGTGGCGTTATTCTTGTCTCCCCAAATGATGTCGGCATAGTGAAAAAGTGGACTTATTAAGGAATTGTACAATGTAATTCGCGTTTCTAATGGTAACAGATGCTTGACTCGTTTTGGTAAACCGATTCTTTAATTTGTTTCATTTTGTTGATTAATGATTCGATGTGCTCGTGCCATGTCATGTTCTTGTGGATGACCACACCGAGATATTTGATCGAATCTGTATTTTCAAGTTCTTTGTTATCTATTTCAAGCTTGATACCTTAGTAGGTTTGCAATCTGCGATGGCTACCAAACAATAAAAATCTCGATTTTTTAGTGTTCAGTGTCAGATAGTTACTGTCAAACCATTGAGCTAAATTGGCAAGGTCGGCATTTAGATGGTATTGAATATCTTGGCAGCGTTTTCCACTTGAATATATCACAGTGTCGTTGCATACATAATTACTTGACAGTGTTCTAAGCAGTTCGGAAGATCGTTAATGTAGATAAGGAATAGTAGAGGGCGGAGGATGCTACCTTGCGGTACTCCAACATAAACTCACAAGGAGGGGACTGGTAGCCTTCAATAGATGTTATTTGGTACCGATTATTGAGGTATATGAGACAAACCACTCCACGACTTGAGAACCAGCACCAATAGCCTTGAGTTTTTAACAAGAAGCATATAGTCTACGGTATCGAACGCCTTGGAGAGGTCAAGGAAAACTGCTCCCGTAAAACAGCGGTTGTAAAGACTCTGAAGTATATTGTCAGTGAAATGGGCAAGGACAGTTTTAGTTGAAAGCGTGGAACGGACACCAAACTGATTTGGAGTAAGTGGTTTGGAGTCTGATAGAAAAGTGTAAAATTGCTGGTGCACGGCTCGTTCAAGAATCTTGCTGATGGTTGGGAGAACATTTATCGGTCTGTAGTTGTTACAGTCCGTTCTTTCACCAGTCTTAGATAAAGCACATACTTTACCAAGTTTCCAGATCGATGGGAAGGTGCTTGTCTCAATTGACCGGTTAAATGATTTGGTCAGCATGGGTGCCAGACACTGAGCCGAATCCTTTAATAATCTTGCACTAATAGGATCTAGTCCTATGGTTTTGTTAGTTCGTAAAGCTTTCAGTTGCTTGAGAACAAATGATTCAGTGATAGTAGAGAAGGTGAACTAGTTCTCTTTTCCAATGTAATGAGTGTAAGAGGGTGACAGAAAACTTTATACTGTTGTTAAATGTAGATTTTAGTTTACTTTGATTTTTGCAGCTAGTTTGATTCCGATAAGAGAGAAATGTTCATTTAGAACCCGAGCTATGGCGCTTTTTTTAGTGTGAAAAACGCCATCAGCCTCTTTTAGAGAAAACGGTAGAGTTGGATTTCTTTGACGTGATCTCATCTAGAGTCTTCCAAAGCTCACTGGGATTACCTTTGTTCTTGTTAATTAAATTTTTACATTTTTTTACCAGTTTGTTCACGAAGCACTTGATCTTTTTAAACTTTCTCCAGTGGTATTTTGAGTTCGTTTTTATCGCCTTTCTATGATGAAAATCTCGGTCTCGTATGGCGTTTGATAGATCAGAAGTCATTCAGGGTGTTTTTATTCCTTTTATGCGAGTTTTCTTGATCGGCGCGTGTCTATTTGCAACATAAGTAAAAAGGATATTCCACGTTTCCACAGCAGGATCTACATCTCTATCTATATCAATTAAGTTCCAGTTAGTCTCAGCTAAATCCTTGATGAAGGCATCTTTATCGTACTTGCGGTACGAAAGGTATTAAACTCTCTTTGGCTGGGACTAGGGACACCAGATTTTATGGTGCAGAACACAATGGAATGGTCGCTAATTGCCGAATGAATTACACCACTTTCAACAATGCGATGGTTGTTGCTGACAAAGATCAGATCGATGGCGGATTTCGTTTGTTCATATATTCTGGTCGGAGTGTTGCTTAACTGCTCAAATTCATTTGTTGTTGCAAATTTTGCAGTTGCCGTTTTAGTTAAAATGCAGAGTCGTCTTTTACAGCTAAATAGTCGATATTGAAATCCCCCAAAACGCCTATTTCCGATCCCGCTGACAGTTTCGTGAGTGAGTCACTTAGTGCATCGATGAAAGTCTCAGAACAGACGTAAGGTGGCCTATATACACAAGCAATAAACGATTTATTGCACTTGAGTCGATGTTCCTCAATCCATAATATTTCAAAATTTTCAGTAGTCAAATCCGTTCTATGTTTGTAGGGAATCCCATCGCGTACGTAAATTGCCGTGCCGCCGTCTCTTTTACCTGTTCGGTCATTTCTCAATACTAAATAGCCACTAATATCTGCTTCAGAATCTTTTATAGATGGGCTAACCCATGTTTCAGAAAAAGTAAAAATGTCGAATTTCTTGTCACTAAATAATAGTTGAACATGATTCATCTTGTGCAAAATGCTTCGCACATTAAGATGAGCTATTTTAAAGCCGCGAAGCTTCGGTAGATTTTCGACGCTGTGGAAATCTCCGATAGATCGAGGATTCAAGTTGGCATTTGGTCCTGGGTTTACGGAGATATCACCACACTGTAACAGCAAACCGGCGAGTAAGATATCCCCAGTGAACTTGATGATACGAACTGAGAGTACAGTCGCAAGATGGCTTCTGTTTGTCGGTCTCTTTAGAGCTCTTCTTTTCAGCGAGAACTTGGGAAGGGAAAAGGAATTAAGTTCTTTGCCAACAGCCAATGTGGAACAACAGCCAGTATCATTATTAAGCTGTAAATCGTGCGAAGGCTTTAGAAAATCTCCAAGAACCAGCCAGAAAACCAAGATAACTACTGAGCGCATAAACACGTGTCTCAACGTCGCCATTTTGTTTACAATCAATGGCAACCCATTTCAATTTCCTCACAAAGTCTTCCCACCTTAAGAGGCCGAAAAATATTATTTTCTTTTATTAAACTAGATTGAAGTTATATATTTTACCTAACGCTTACAAAAATAAAAATTTAAAAATCTTAAAAAGCGTCTGACTTATTTAGAAAAATGTACTTTCAATAAATCACGAAGGTGTCATAGTCTCGTAAATGGGCGAACCCCTGGGGAAATATTCGCGGCAATTTCATGTTAACGGTTGTTTTTTCACTGGGACAAGTTTGACTAGTTGAAGTCGGAAAAGTCCGGAAGTACAGTGAAAATAGCTCGTCGTAAGTTTAGCCAGTTAAAAATGCAAGCTGTTCTCACAAGGAAAATCAAAGGATTATCTCGCCTTCATGACCGGAAATTCCCGTAGTTATACTACCTCGCGAGATGGTATAACTCGTCCTGATAAATGCCGCAGCCAATCACATTGCTCGTAGCGACAGATGCCTGCCAAACCGTGAACTGGCAAATATTTTTCAGACAATCGCGTTCACTTTGCAAACAGTGCATTCGAAATGACAGACAAATTCACTCGTAGTACTTTCCCGTTCTGATTTACAATTCCTCCGGCCTCATTAGACTCCTCAGCTCTTCGGCCAGGACTTTACCCTTACTTATTTCACCGAGGTGGCATGCAGAACCCGCCATACCTGCTTTTGAGCACAAATGCTCAACAATCCGTGGTATCCTCTCCATTACTCGAGACATTAGTCGCGTCCTTTGAAAGAAACGCCGTCTGATTCGGAAAAATATGGCGAGAATCAATACAAGAAAAAGTCATTGAAAATGCCTCGTCTCCCGCCATTTTCTCAAAGTTTAGGGCTTCTGTAATTTGAATCTACTGAGTAAATGGCTTAAATTTCGGTTTAGATTTCAGAGTGAAAACAGATGTCAAGTTTAACTAGTAAATGTCGGTCTGTAAACAAACACCTAGAAATGTTCAGCTAGAAAAGTTGTCTGATGAAAACACACTCATTTGCATATTTGACAAACTTCTCACGTGGAAGTTCTCTGTTAGTGGAAAGTCTTTTTTCATGGATAGAAAATATAGATCAAAATTAGAAATAATGTCAAGCAGAAAAAAAAAAAAAAACAGTCCTGACACTCCCCTCCACGTTAGCATCGAAATTGGGTCAAATTGCGAACAAAGAAGTTGCCATCTAATCTACACTTGTCGCACATAAGGCTAAAAACGAAGTTGCTTTCAAGATGCAAGTACGTGCCTA